CCACTGGCAGCTCAGGCAGGCAGGCTCCACTGGGGAAAAAATGTTGCCAGGGGCCTGATCCTTTTTTTTTTCTCAGCGCCTGAATGCCTCTCCTGCAGCTGGAGGGTGAGCTGCCGGGAGGCCCTGAGCTGCAGGGTGCCTTGGTCCTTCCCTCCATGGTGGTGGCACCCCCTGGGGCTGCCCGGGTGGGTGGGTAGCCCGATTCAACTCTTCTCTGAGCTCGAGCTGGGGCAGCACCCATACAGCTAGTAGCCTGCCCAGGCAGCCCTGGGGGGGCGTGCTGCTGTGGAGGGAAGGACCGGGGCCTCCTGCAGCTCAGGGGATGCTTGGCCCACTGGCAGCTCAGCCCCCAGCTGTGAGGGATAGCAGTCTCTGCGGAAAAAAAGCAGGATTGGGCCCCTCACGTTAACAGTGATGGAAGCCCCTAAATTGAAATGGTGGGTTTTTAATCAACACAACTAAAAAACTACCATTTCAGTTTAGGGAACTAAACTCCCATCATGTGTACAAGCATCCTTAGATAGCCACCTAAATACTTCCAAACTATCCCCTCCCCCCATCACCATTCTCCAGTTTGTTCCTGAATCTCAGAAGACGCTCACATTTTTTTTCTTTGGCTCTCTGGAATTCCTCTAGCTAAAAGCCCAGTACACTGAGATATCCTGACTATTAAGAGTTTGATTTTCCCATTACAAGCAGACTACTTTGGGTGCCCATCCCAAAAATAGCTTCTCTGCCTGTTTTTGTGGGGTGGCAATTGTTCTTTCCATGTAACACAATGGCAAGAGATACTTAGAAGTTTGGCTACTCCCTTTGCCTTAAGTATGCATCCCTCAGTTGCATTGCCTAACCATGTCCAAAATCATAAAAGTATAAACAGGCACCATAACGTAATCCATATAGAGATAAAAGTGACATAAATGAATATAGCATACCATTGGCTTTTCAACAATATTACATATGCCATATCAGTAAAACAAACTCAAGCCAATCTGCAGGACGTCCCCAGAGTCACCTCAAAATATGAAGAGGCTTATAACAAATAGATCTGATTTCATGTAGACCTTCCATATTCTACTTGCCCATTCCATGTCTAGGTGGATGTCTGTTCCCTTGCAAATCAGTTCAATCCCTGCAGGTTAGACTAACCTGCAAAGATTGAATCAGTTCAGACTTAGACATTTTTGAATGTCTGTCCCTAGTTTTAGGCTCCTACATTACTGAGACACTTATGAAAATTTTTCCCAAAACTTTGCCTAGTGTCCACAGCCAGGAAGTGTATGGTTCTCACCAGGTGCAACACATAAAAGGTGCAGGCGCACCCCCTGAGAGTGCCGGTGCACCCCCTGTCAGGATGCACTCACTGTATAGCCAGCGGGCAGGGGGGCAGGCGGGAGCACCAATGCCCTTCCTGCAAGCTCTGGCCAGGGAGTGGGGCTGCCAGCAAAAGCAGTCGCATTGCTTCCGGAAGTGACCACGGAGCTCCAGAAGTGGTGTGGCAGCTTTTACAATGAGTAAGATTGGAGGCCTGTGGCCAGCGGGATTGGCCTTTGGGTCCTCCCCACCCACCGGCCAGCAGGATGGGTTGCTGGGAGACCCCCCTGGTCACTGACTAGCGTCAGGGGGGGCACATGCCCCCCCTGACTCAAGAGGCACCAGACACCCATGGCTCTCACAGGTGTCTCTTGTAGTATTGGAAGTGAAACATGTATAGAGGGCAGTGTGGGCCACACATGGACAGTATCCCTTTCCCTTGATTCCTTCTGCTTCTCACCCAAGCACACAGGACAATCTGTCAGGAGGTCTTTGTTCAGGATGAGCCTGAACCCACAAGAGCATTCCTTAGTATTTTATCTTTTTATTTATTACTATTTCATAAACTGCTTGGATAATAAAGGATTATAGCACAGTAGTTTGCCATCAAGGAAACCACAAGCAACAAACAAAAGATGTTATCTGTAACATATGGTTCTTATTTGAGGAAATATGTCTGGTTACATTAATTGACACAGTAAGACTCTAGGCTGTTTTGTTTTATAATCCCTTGTAGTTGCCTCAGCAACAGAAAAACTAATGACACTGATATCAGAGTTCAAAACAAATATGAACATCCCCCTCACATACACATGCATTCAAGGCGGGAAGAGAGGTTTGCCTCATGAAATAAAAAGGCATCAATTTTACAACTGCACTTCAACACAGAAAAGAGAACTGTGGCAGGGAAGCCAAAGTTCTGGCTCTCCAAAATCTGCCCATCTCTTGTAGGTTTAATAACCTTTGTTAGAAAAGAAAAGCATGAGACTAATCTAGGGTTATCATATCCCCACTATCATGATTTCCAATGGTTTCCAATCACTGATACCGATATTTATGTAATTTCTGTCCCTAGCCTAAAAGATCTACAGAATTATGGTCCAAAATCATGGAGTAAACATAGACATTGGATTTATGACACATTACAACCTGCCTGACATCTGATAACCCCAGGTAACCTGTCTGCATTCTACCACCTACAGTCTATCACCAGATCAACATTCCCCCTTTCCCGTCCCTGCCCCACCTACCTGTCTCACACGTATTGTCTCCTATTCCCTCTGAGCCTTATTGCCATGCATTTGCATTTTCACAGACCTGCATTTTGCATATTGGCTCCCATGCCCCACAGGACAGCACACAAAACGCCATCAGACTCTCCCTATGCCTGAAGAAGGATGTTTGTGCTGAAAGCTTGCAAAGAACACCTTTTCCAACTGTTTAGTTGATCTAATAAAAAATACCACACATTTACCCAAATAACATTGTCTGAACTTCTGTTGCGTTACAGATTTGAATCTGTTTCCAATCACTGATACCGATTTATATGTAATTTCGGTCAGAATAATGGTTCATGTGGCTACCTTCAGTTCTGTTTAGAAAGGTGCCCAGAGATTTTAGTATTTAAAGAGGAGGTATCACTTTAAATAAGCTGGGCAAATTGTCAAACTTGGCCACTTAACTTCAGGTTCATAACCAATATTTCGAGGAGTGATGTGATATTCAGTAGTATCTACTGACTTCACTGGGAAGCGTGGCAGCTCCCTACTTCTACAAATCAGTTTACTGTGGTTTAGGTCCCTAAATAAGTGTTAAGGAGGTAAATGTTAGAGGTTTGATAATATGGGTCTGTGTGCTGTAAATGAAGAAATGGATACAAATGTCTGGTCAGCTTGCCTTATAACAAAAGGAAGGCCAGTGTACAATCGCTCCCTAGGGGTCTTCTTCTTGGTTGCATTTCTCTAAGCTTGGAAAATGAAAATTAGTCAAGTCACTTTCACTTCTCTTTATCATTTTCGGTTACTCAGTACTACAATATTTGAAATGTGGACACTGTAAGGGAATGCTTTTTCCTTCCTTTACTGGTAGTCTCAGTGGGGAAATCAGGAAGCAGAACGGCCTGAACTCCCCTCAGTACAGCACTTTCAGTTCAGGGTTGGAACAGCATGGCAAAGTTCGTACTGTTGCTGCCTGTCCCGGATCTGTCCTGTGGGCAAAGAACTTTGGCCTCTAGTTTCCTTTGCACTTTACAGGAACAGTGTATTTTCTTCTATATTGTTATCTGGTGCTTTAAATAGTACTACTTCAGCAAAGGGGAAGGCTGCCCCTGTGGTTAATCCGAGAGTCAATGTACTCATGTTCTTAGCCCAGTCCTGCCCTAAGCTTCTTGTGTGACCCTGAGGAAGTCTTGTGTGACCCCTAGGAAGTCAAGTGCTTTACTCCATTTTAGGCACATAGCTGAAGGCATATCAACAATCATCAACGTATCAGCTGACCTTAGCAGTCTTGCTTGCCTAGTGTAGGGGGGCAGGACCTGAAGATCTCATGAGGTCCCTTCCAGCCCCTAACATCTATGAATCTATGACTCTATGAAAAACAGGGTACAGTGCAGGGTCACAGAGAGATGCTCAACCTTGGTGAGGTACCAAAGCATTATGGTGGCGCTCCTCCCACACTAATGTGGCTACTTGGCTTCTGGTATCGGAGCTAGCTCATTCAGAACTAGCCTGTGTATCTCTTTGCAGCATTGTATTGTGCTGTTTAAATGAAGCTTAAGCAGTCTCATTTTTCACACGTGACGACTATCCAGCAGTTCTCACAGACAAGGACCTTATAGATTCAGAGATGCTAGGGTTGGAAGGGACCTCAATAGATCATCGAGTCCGACCCCCTGCCTAGGCAGGAAAGAGAGTTGGGGTCAGGTGACCTGAGTCAGATGCCTATCCAGTCTTCTCCTAAAGACCCCCAAGGTAGGGGTACACCTCAGCACCTCTGAACCCTTTCCTCAGAGGAAGTTGACTCAAGAGCATCTGATCCTTTGATAACTGAGGATGAAATCCAGCCTGGCTTGCAGTGGTAACATTTAAGCCTCATAAAGCACTGAGCCTAGAGGCTGCTACATAGTCACACAGGATTTGTAGGTCACTCTTGCTTGCAGAGGTGATGACTTTGTGCTTGCCTGCTTGGGTCCAGTGTGTAAAGTAAGTTTGAGGGAGAGGCCTAGGATATGTATAGGCCCCAATATCCTATGAGAGCTGAAGTACTGTTTTGCTGCACAGTGGGATGCACTGTAGATACACATCATTGTCTTGGGGTGCAGGATTTCACTCCTTGAACTCCAGTTGATTACCCAGACTTTAATGGGAGGAGTGATTCTCCACCTGAGTGAAGGGCAAAGCAGTTTGGGACCCAGTCCCCAAAGTAAGGAAGTAAAAAAGCTGGCTGGGAGGAGAGCTGAGCAAATTTAGGGTAAACCAGGCATATTTATGGGATGTGTGAGAGCATGGGGTAGAAATGCCATCCTCAGAGTAGAAAAAAGTATGGTATACATGGCTGCTAGCTGGAAGTGAAATGCCCACTTCTGTGACTATAAAATGTAAGCAGCAATAAATAGTGAGAAAAAGTTTGTCAGCTTCCTTTCCTGAACAGGAGTGAAGTTCAGAGATCCTTGACACATGATGACTCACCAGATCTGCAGATGGAAGTTGCATGCAAAAGTTGCTTTGTTTCTGGAGCAATGTCAAAAATCCCAAGCTCATCACTTGGGATTTTCATTGTGCACACAGTGTCCTGTCAACAAAGGGCAACATTCAGCACGCTCTCACCTAATCTGTGAAATAGAAATAAAACTCAGTGTCAAATGTACTTACTCCTCTTCGGGAAAAGGTTCAGAAAGAGAAGACAGCACCCAATTCCTGAGGATATCACTGAACTACATAGGGCATACACACTGTGCCAGACAGGGTGTATATAACCTATTGCATGCAGAACTGCAAATATTTGAGGGACAATTAATTTTTCTTGCAAGGTACAGGCCTGAGCCAAAGCTCAGAGATGTTCAGTGATTTTGACAGGCCTTGGAGCAAGACCTACATGAACAAATTACAGTATCCAGCTTAACATTTATGCAGTTCCAGAGGCTTTCAGCTCTACCAATGCCTTGTTGTGTGCACTTGCCAGGTGACTTTCCAAGGAATTTGCATTCTTCACAAGGCTTGGATAGCCAGTTTGGGGTCTTCAGACAACCAGAGGATTCTTCAAAGCAGAACACCCACGCTTTGAAAATTCACTTCTGGCTGTATGTTAGTCTGTGCAGATTAGCACTTTACATTTGTCAATCAGGTATGGGTAGGTATGTTGAGAATGGCCACACAAACCAGATTTGGGCTACAGTCAGGTGGGAGAACAGGCATTATAGATTTTATTTTCAAACTGTTCCTCCTAAAATCCCCCTACTGAACCCTTGAGGAAAAGCAACTGATACTGCTCTCAGCTAGGCAAATGTCAATTAGGAGCAATGTGTTTACACCCAGTATAAAACCAGTGTACCTACAAGGAAAACCAGACATTCACCTTCATATCCTAGAGCTGAATGGTGTGTGCCCCTTTTTGAATCTTAAGAGTTTGCACTGAAAAGGCTAATGTGCCTTACTCTATGCACTGACTACTCAGGCTGCAATGTATTATCCCATCTTGTGTGGCACACCAAGTACCACACCTGACAGCAATCTCCACTTTTCAACAATGACAGCTGCAATGACTGAGTTTGTTAAACCCATGGAGGGGAGAAAAAAATCTCAAGTTAATCTTTGTCTCTTGAAATGTCCCCAAATCCATGATATCAGCAAAGCTCAGGAGCCCAGCATAGCAGTGTGACCGAGCTTGGTGGGGTGCTTCGCTGCCTTAGAGCTGCATTTGAGTTCCTGCCAAAGGGCTGCACTCCAGCTGCCAACACCTACTTGGCTTTACGTCAGCCCTGAAGTCAACAATTACAGTGAAGGCCCCGGTTGCTACGGTGGATGAGTTGATTGTAAAGGAGCTGAAAGGGGTGGGGGTGGCATCTCACTATATACAGAAACCAGCCAGGTCTCTGAAAACTGCTTTTTACACCAGGTGTTCTGCTCCTTACCTATGTGTCCCAGGTACTAACATATCAGTACTATGAAAGATTGTGGTCTAAGCATGTTCCAAGAGTGTCCCGATGGAAAACGAATCTTCAGAACAGCCCCATTCCTTCTAGATGGTTCCAGCCCCTCTGGAAAATGCTTGGAAAGCATATAATCTTACTCATATAATTCATTTTCAAGTCTTTTGTTCTCACCCTCGGTGATGATACTAGGGTTATTCCTAGAACATAAATTACTTGGAGTCCAATCCTGCAAGGTACTGGATGGGTTCAACCTTCTATTGAAGAGAAAAGGAGGTTGTGGGCTCCCAGGACCTTCGCAAATCAGAATTAGTCATGGGTATATGAGAATACTCAGACCCTCATTCAGTGTAAGGAAGTTTGACCTATCCAAACAATATACACATGCCAGCTCTTCAACCCAGAACAATCTCTTCTCTTTCAAGCCTGAAGCCAGAACACATTCCTTCTGTGCGGCTCTTCAAAAATGACATTGTGAGATTCCCGTCATGTCAGCCCTATCTGTACAGTACTAGATATCTACATTTTAGTGGAGTTTGATGCAGGCCAGATCTCTCTGATGTGTCTGCACATCACTTGCTCTAAGCTATGAGTGAGGCAAGTATTAAGAGGACTAAACATTTATGTGGGAAGGAAACTTTGCCTCTAGCACATCTGTAATTTGATGCATCATGTGTGATGCAGGACTATTTCTATCAAGAAGTGGGCAAGATATCACAAACTTGCAAAGCAAGTGAAGTCACACTGTTCCTGAGGGATGAACAGCAGGAAGGGAAAAGCAGAAGAAAAACACAGAAGGAAATTCTTGATAGGTAGCAAGCAAAAGCTGTTACTGCCTGAAAGCTGAATGTGGTCCAGCTCAAATAAGCTGCCCTTGTTCCAGTTCTTATGGGCAAGTATCCCGATCCCATATAGCATGAGCTTTGAATCAACAGTTAATTATATCAGACCACATATATTGCAAACTTTGTGCTGATGGAGAACAGCACTAAATCCATTCATTCCTCAAGTGGAGACTATTCAGCCTCAGTGTGACATATCTGGCCCACACATCAAAGGGGTTTTAAAGCATCCCTCTTTGTAAATGCAGGGCAACTGGATGCAGGTTGAGCCTATGGGAATAGGTGGGTGCATACAATATGATTTCTGAAGATCTAATGTTAGAAACTTTCATCTCTTCCTCCCTCCCTTGTCCCAGTCATGATTCTTCAGTGATAAATAATTCACTTCCTTCACTGACTAATCACCTGTAGCATAGCCCACTATCTGCAGCATCTTCTAGCACCAACGCCAGCTCAATAGTAACTCTGGGGTAATGACTGGATTTTTAGTTATGTATTACCTTTGTTCTTGAACTGGCTCCCGACTAATGGGCAGGAGCGCTGGGCTTTAACTTGTAATTGCACTGGAGAGGTTCTGAAAGCAAGGCTCGCCTTGAGGAACTGCTCTATCTACAACAAAAGTAGTAATTGTATACTTCATGCTGGGGCTAGTTACACAGTAAATGAAATCTGTTATATGAATAGTTTTGTGTGTGATGCAGATTGTTATGAGTCATAGGGTGGGTGATACTCTTTGTGAATGACTGCTGGGTATTCACGTAAATGCTGGTGAATCCCAGCAGCTTTCTGAATTCTAGAACTTATCATTACCGGACTGAATCATTACCTGTCCATACCAAAGAAAACACCCTGGGACACAGACATGAGAGGCATATCCAGATGAGTGCACATGTGTGGTATGCAGTACTGCAGATGGGTCTGCAGCACCAAACACTGCACGTGCCACGCATGCTAATTTGTAGACACCAGGGGATTCTGGTGTAAAAAAACCCCACTCTAGAAAAAAGTGGGGTGGTGCCTGTGGCAGCAGTGTGCGCTGCCCAGATTTGGAGCTTGGCTGGCCAGAGCCATATTCCAGCAGCTGATCAGGTCCCTGCTGCCAGATCACTGCTGCTGGGACCCCGGAAAGCCTCCTGGACCCCAGATAAGGCTCCAGGGACCAGTCCAGGTGTTGGCGCCGGCTTCCCCTACCCCACCTGGGGCAACTTGCCACATGCCAGAGCACAAATGCATGGGCATTCCCCAGGGATAAGTAGCAGTGGCACAACTATGTGCTGCTGCTATTTGTCCCTGGGGAAATATACATGCAGGCTAGTCTGGCCGCGCCCGAGCTGTGTAAAAAAAATCTGTGCCAAAGAACTTCCACGATAAACTACATGGCAGAAATAACACATAGCAAAGGATTTCAGCTAAAGGCCTGCAAACAACATGCATCCTGAAAAGGGTCAGTTAAGCGTTTGGCCACTGCTCAAGGAAAAAGGATATGTCCATGGAAAACTAGGATCAGTTCATAAACAATTCCCTTGCTGAAAAGTGGAGTTTACTCACACTAACTAGTACTGGCAACAAACAACTCCGTTTGTTGTGCTGCCTTGGTGTCACAAGCACAGCTCTTGTGCATAGATATGTGCTTCTTGTGTTCCCGCAGCTAGCGCACAAAAGGTCACAAGAAGATCCCACACGTGCAAAGCCACATGCACATGGGCAGAGGCCCCCGAAGGAGCCCTGGGGCTCTACAACGCAGCATAACTTCCTGGGCAGTCTAACCATGAGCAGCGGCTGTCTCTGTCTGCTGGGACCTGTGTGTGAAACTGTCACCCAGACAAGTAATAATATTGGCTCACAGATCTCCAGAAACAGCCTTTCCTTTTTTCTTGCCGGCAGAAGAAACCAAGATGCCCTTTGTATCCAGTTTTAGCACATTAATTGCAGTCATCTTCTAGCTGCGGTAACTGATTCTAGGGTTCCCTGAGGAGAAGACGTGGTGGTTATTTTTAGAGGCAAGTACAAAAAACAACAGACACCAACAAACAAGATTAAGTTGGCAACTGGCAGCATGTGAAAGCAGTAAGGCAGTTTTGCTACCTAGTTACACCCAGGGCCTCCATAAATCACGTTCGACATCTGACCTCTCTGGAAATTATTTAGCTGTTGCTGATTATCTTGTTTGGGCGACTTTCTCAAAACACACATGTGGTTCTTTGTTCGAATCTTTATGGTGATGAGAATGACCATTCAGACCTAGTAACTTACAACAAATATTGCAGGGAACACAATGCTTTGCACACACAGGAAACAGCTGGATAATAAACCAGGTTTAAACGGGTTCCTATAAAAGCCAATGATTCATGCAAACTAGCATTTGTATAAGCAGGATCAGCCTTAAAGTTCCTTTAGGGCTTCCAGTGCCCCAAGCCAGACTTAATTATAACAACACCCCATGTGTGGCCATTCGCAGGAGACCGTGCACCTGAGAATTCCCCTTCTGGCTCAGCGCTCTCTGCAAATACCCAAAGGTCAGCCCTGTTTATTACATTCAGCCTCAGCAAGGGCATGCAGAGTTTACAAAACGCAGGGTGGGGGGCATATTTCATCTCAGTTTTCTGCTGCCAATTAAACGCTTCTTAGCTGACCCGGACATGGAACAACAGTGATCTCATATGTCAGGAGAGGGTAATCCGCATGTTATTAATGGTTTTCCTTGCTTTATCTCCCTGGAGAGTTTGAAAGCTGATGCAGAAAATATCACTAACAAGAACATTTGAGCAGGACAGAAAACACGACC